CATTAATTTAAATTTAGCACATTCCACTCCAAACACTATTTGGCTTTCAACAGGATTGGTTTAGTAATATTTTGGCAGCTGATGGAGGGTGTTTTTGAGTTTTCTGCAGCATTGTGCTTGATGTTATTTACTAAACAACTTCTTTTAACTCAGCAATTTATATATAGAATGTTCTCGAATTTGATTGGCTGATTGTTGTTTATTGCAATGCAGTTTATTTATGAGGATAGTGCCTATTTGAAATATTTATAATTTTGGAGATATACATAATATATGAATAAAAAGTATTTTCACACCAATTAGCACACTAACTTGCAAATCAGTCAATGCTAATGGAATAAATGATCTTTTATACATTGCTTTTAGACAATTTGCAATTTGGTATTAATATTATTCATACCTGAATTATCATCATGAATATTCATACATAGCAAACACATGCTATTTCATATTCTACTTGACATTATTAATTAATCTTTTTAGATATAATGTATATATTACATTTAGATATAATGTAATATATTCATGTATTGGTATGTAATAATGTACATTATTGTATTTATACTATTATAATAATGTGTGATTCATTATTTTTATGAACTGTTTTTGTTAAAAAACTGTAAGAAAAAAAGGATTCCAGCACTGTTTTTGATAAAGGAGAGACATTTATTGATAATAGCTACATCTCTCTTTATACTATAAAATGTATACACGTTTATACACGTTTGAGCTTTTTTGCTTCTAGGTAACTGGAATTTTTTCACACCATAAAATTGTAATCAGTTATATACAATTAATATAAGTGTTATTGTATTTTATATCCGAGAAAACAGCAGCAACACCGTTCAGGTTTGCGCACTGTAATGACCATATTAAGATGGCGGCCGCGTTGACATATCGGAACAACGGACCGAGGCGGACGAAGCTGTTACCACATTGCTCCCTGGTGGCTTAAACTGAACTATATTTAATTTTTTTGAGATTGATACAGGTTATACAGATTAATTTACTATATGCCTGAGAAATAAGACGTATATGCATACAAAATAGAATTTAAACATACAAAAGTTAGTCAAACTAAGAATCAAAGTTGCTATTATTTATATACTCAAAAGATAGCGTTGCAGGGAGCCAAATCTTTTACAGAATTGTTATTGTTATTATTATTATTAATTATTATATTCTACCTTTTTGTTTTTGTATCCTAGAGTGCTTCAAGGAAATGGCGCACTGCACCTTTAAGATTTTTGAATATGGCGACGCCGTGGCGTTGCTGTGGTTACCATAGTCAGTGGCGTTGTAAAAAAAAGAATGTATTCGAAAAACCGTCGATGACGTGGAGAACTTAGAGTGACCTGCATTAAGTGTCTGGCCGTCGCTGACATGAGTGGTATGTAAAGATCCTTCTAAAGTTATCATTTTAGGTTATTATATTTGGTTGTTTCGACTTGCTTTTGATGAAGGACACTAAAGATTTTAGTATTTCTCTCTACCATATCGTTTCAGATAATTATATTAGTTTTTCCACGTATTTTTCGGTTAGACTGTGGATTGTACTGAATGTTGGTTGGAATTGGAGATTGCTATATTGTCGACTTGTCAAGGATGTGTTTAGGATTTTGAATTATATATATATTTTTAGTTTTTGTATTGTCATCTTCTTTGGTAGCCTATTTATAATCGTAGAATGCCATTTGTTATGTTGTCAGGTTGGTAGATACAATATATTTGTTTGTATGCTTCATTTGTACAGTATATTGCTATCTGATTTATTATTTACAGTTTGTTATTTGTTATATCATCAGATTGATCTGCTATTATTGTATTTGTATTCTGTCAGCTTTAACATATATTCCTTAAAACTGTACATCTACTGTCGTATAGATTGTCTGGCTGTTGTATTATTTTTTTTGTAGTTTATGCCTTTTCGGCCTGTTCAACATTTGCAGTGTCATTTGTTCTTTACATTTTTACTAATATTGTAGCACATTTAACTATTCCAAGTTTATAGATTGTCATCTTATAGAGTATTTATTTATAGCTGTGAAAAATTTGTTGTTAGTGTTACAATACAACCAGTCTGGTGACAATGACAGATGAAACTTTCAAAGAATTTAACCCTGTTGTATTTTAAAGATTGGAATGAAAAAAAAAGGAATCACAAACCCCAGCAAAAACTGGAAATTTATGGTCAGGAACAGATGAACGTGTGCATCGATGGATGTCCTTCGCAGATGAAAGGGACGGTGATTGGTATAGAGCAGTGGTTCTTAAACTTTTTCACCTCAGAAAAAAATTCTCTCCAAATACCACCTAATGATTAGCATCGAAATATAGTAGCATAGAAGGCCTAATTAATCAGCCACAGCTCTGCACAGTTCAAGAACAAGGCAGATTTTTTTATAAAATAAGGTCAGACACTTTAAACATTATAAATAGTTTAAACATTAACACTGTACTGTGCTTACGTTTAATAAAAAAATGTGTTTAAATGTTAATTAAAATTGACACTGTTCATAAAAAGTACAATAAATAAATAAATAAAATGCTGTACTTAAAGGTAAAGTAATAACATATAGTAGAAGACCTGAAAATGTAGCTTGGACCTCATAAATTTAGTCCTCATAAATTTAGTTAAAAAGTCTTCATTTTCAGATCATATATAAACCATTTTGAACGATATGTTGCATGTACATATGACATATTTGTATGGAGGAGACCGGGGATAGTCGTACTTCTATTATATTTACCTATATATCTGTGAGATCTTAAGTGTCTGCTATTAAATGGCATGTACGTTGTTTTTGCAGCGCAAACAGAAAATGTGAACACTTTTTAGTTCCAAACAGGAGCAGTAAAATGTTACAACTCATTCCACAGTCACGGTTAGTTGTAACACACCCCATGATGAGATGTAAACTGAAATGCCAACAAGACTGATCTGCAAAAGTACTTCTCTTGCGCGTTATCTGCTTGAGAGCTCCACAATTTTTTAGATTCTTAGCATCTGATGATGTGGTGCACTATACATAATAATCACAACAGTGATCATACAGTACAGGGAACAGCCAATGCTGATCACATCAGTGTTATCGTACCATTAAAGGGTAAAAGAATGTTCATATATTTTCAATTATTATTCAGTGACCATTGTGTACCACTAGATGGAAGCCCGCGTACCACACTTTGAGAACCACTGGTATAGATAGATAGTCAGGCTTTGTCTGTGTCAGGTTTTTCCTTTTTCAGCTAATGGAGAGCAGGCAGAAAAGGGAGACTCACAAGAGAATTGGTTGGCATTTATCTAAAAGAAATGCTGGAGAACAATGGTAGGGTTTTGTTGGGGCTGTTTATGTTTTTTTGCAGGTTGAAGTGGAGCAGAAGAAGGGGACTCACAAGGGGAACAATGAAGATATACTTCAAGACCTGGAGCTCAGGAAGCAGGTAAAATGAATTGAACTGACTGAACAATGGAGTTAGATTCCATAGAAATGGATTAAGAAAAATTAAAGACTTGATATTTTTCTCTTTGACAGATTGACAGAGGATGTAGAGGAACAGGGAACCACACCTCAGTAATGACGAGTTCATTGTAATAAATTAGGTTCTGCCTTAAATTTTTAAGTTGAATCAAATTAACTTTATTAAACAATTTTAAAGTTATACAATTTCATTTTTTACAGAGTAAGTGTCACAGAAGGCACGGGATTCAGGTGAACAATAGAAACAATGTTTATTTGGCAGGTGAGTATAAGCAGGTGAGCATATTGATGCAGATGATAATAGTCCATAAACATAAACTCGATATTTGACTGTGCAGGTTTGGAGACTGAAGACATATACCACAGACGGCAAACAGGACGAGGACCAGATGAGGAACCAGGACACACCACTCTAAGAGAGACATGGAAGACATAACTAAACTCATATCTAAGAATCAACAATGACTGTGTATAACAGGGGTGTCCAAACTCAATCCTGAAGAGCCAGTGTCCTGCATATTTTAGTTCCATCCCCAATTAAATACACCTGAAGCAGCTAATCAACCTTTCTCTAGGTATACTAGAATCTTTCAGGCAGGTGTATTAAAGGAAGTTGGAGCTAAACTATGCAGGACACTGGCCCTGGACACCCCTGGTGTATGGGAGTTCAGTCCTTTCTTTACAAGCGGAGATGCCGGACGCAGTGAATGTGAGTAGAGTCTTTATAGTGCTGTGATGATGATGGTGATGATTGTCAGGTGTGTATCTAATTAGACTCAGGTGAGGTTGCTCATGGTGCTTCAGTGGTTGGAAAACCTGGGCTGCGTCCGAAACCGCATACTTCCATACTATATAGTACGCTAAAATCAGTATGCGAGCCGAGTAGTATGTACAAGTTCATAGAATTTGAAAATCAGTATGCGAGAAGTACCCGGATAACTTACTACTTTCGGCGAGATTCTGGAGTGCGCATCCCATGCACGCTGCGCTATCCCATAATGCCCTGTGAGCGAATACATGAATGGGAGTAAAGCGACGCAATTGACGTAGGTATGTCATGTGAACATAATAAAATGGCGGATGTAGTACGTTCAAATTCCATTCATACTTTTCACGTTCATACTGTATAGAACGTACTTTTCTAACGGCTGAGTAGTACGTTTAAAACCAAATGCAGTACCTACTGAGTAGTAGGCGGTTTCGGACGCAGCCCTGGTCATACTGTGACAGTAAGTGATGGTTGGATATTTGCTTCAGCTAGGCAGAAATAGATACAGTATTTTTGTTTGTTTGTAAGATTTATTTGTATATTGCTATCTAATTTAACATTTACAGATTGTTATTTGTTCTATCATCAGTTGTATTTGTATGCTGTCAGCTTTAACACATTTGTAGTTTATGTTGACATGTTCAACATTTGCATATTTTAATTGTTATTTGTTTTATTGACAGATTTACTAATTATTGTAACACATTTTGAAGTTATTTAAAAACTAATTTCAAGAGGATCACAAGCTTATGATTGCTTGCAGCCTGTCACGCAGTATTCAATTTATGATTCGCCAATCAGAAGATTCCTAGGCCACTATAAATACCCTAAGTTCCATACAACAGCCATCTTCATTTTGAAGAATCCCCCCTTCCACCCTTACTCCTCCTCCTTTCCTAGATGGATGGCACGGTGGCCCAGTGGTTAGCTCTGTTGCAACAGCTGTGATCAGCCTGATGTAAAATCCTAGATGTCAAACATGTTTGCTATGATCGGGAAGGGCTCCGATTGGTGTTCAAGATCGCGAGGTGCAAGATTATATCTTTGGTTCACATTACCAGATAATCTGTGCTGCTGAGAATTGGAACCAATCAAAGTCCTTGACAAGATTTCATCTCCGATATTTGGGCAGGTGTTTCTTTTTCAGGTAATGGACACACAACAGGCACAGGACTCATTTCTGTGCATTTCTTAAGCATGTAGAGCTCTGTTAGTCCTGTGTTTGTCTTTTACAGACTGGAGTGCAGCATGTGGAGACAAATGGTAATCACCTACCTCAGCAATGACTGGAAACTGATGGTCAGGAATATCCTTCAAAAACAGATGGATGGGTGCATGTATGGATGTCCTTCCAAGAGGAAGGGGGTGGTGGTGGGCATACTGTAGATTTTCAGATAGATGTCATCTCTGTGGCTGCACTGCTGCACTGCAGAAGCTCAGCCAGCAGGTAGGGCTCTGTTGGTGCTGCCTTTGTCTTCTGCAGATTGGAGTGGAGCAGAAGAAGGAGACTCACAAGGAAACAGTGGAGATTTATCTGAAGAACACTGGAGAACACTGTTTATTGCTGGAGATCAGCCAGCAAGTGGAGCTTTGTTAGTGTTGTTTTTGTCTTTTGCAGATTAGACTGGGGCATGTGAAGAAATAGGAATCACACCTCAGCGATGACTGCAAACTGAAGGTCTGGTTAGGTATTTCCTGAATGGATGGGTGAATGAATGGATGAAAAATAGATGTCCTTCCAAGAAGAAGGGCGTGGTGGTGGGCTTAGATAGTTAACTAGATGTCTTGTCTGTGGCAGGTGTTTCTTTTTCAAGTAATAAACACACAACAGGCAGAAGAAGCAAACTCACAAGAGCAGCGATGGAGATTTATCTGAAGAACACTGGAGAACAGCAAGCATGTAGAGCTCTGTTAGTCCTGTGTTTGTCTTTTACAGACTGGAGTGCAGCATGTGGAGACAAGTGGGAATCACCTACCTCAGCAATGACTGGACACTGATGGTCAAGAATATTCTTCAAAAACGGATGGATGGGTGCATGGATGGATGTCCTTCCTAGAGGAAGGGGGTGGTGGTGGGCATACTGTAGATTGTCAGATAGCTGTCATCTCTGTGGCTGTTTTAACATTGTAAATAATGGATACACAACAGGGAGAAGAGGGAGACTCACAAGAGCATTGTGGAGAACAGCTTACGCACTGCAGGAGCTCAGCCAGCAGGTAGGGCTCTGTTAGTCCTGTGTTTGTCTTTTACAGACTGGAGTGCAGTATGTGGACACAAATGGGAATCTCAGCAATGACTGGTCACTGATGGTCAGGAATATCCTTCAAAAACAGATGAATGGGTGCATGGATGGATGTCCTTCCTAGAGAAAAGGGGGTGGTGGTGGGCATAGATTGTTAGATGTCTTCCCTGTGGCTGTTATTTGCATTGTAGGTAATGGAAACAAGAGCATCGGTGGAGTTTTATCTAAAATTGCTAGAGCTCAGCCAGCAGGTAGGGCTCTGTTGGTGCTGTCTTTGTGTTTTGCAGATTGGAGTGGAGCAGAAGAAGGAAACTCACAAGGAAACAGTGGAGATTTATCTGAAGATCACTGGAGAACACTGTTTATTGCTGGAGATCAGCCAGCAAGTGGAACTTTGTTAGACTTGTTTTCGTCTTTTGCAGATTAGACTGTGGCATGTGGAGAAATAGGAATCACACCTTAGCAATGACTGCAAACTGAAGGTCTGGTTAAGTATTTCCTGAATGGATGGGTAGATGAATGAATGAAAAATAGATGTCCTTCCAAGAGGAAGGGGGTGGTGGTGGGCTTAGATAGTTAGCTAAATGTCTTGTCTGTGGCAGGTGTTTCTTTTTCAGTTAATGGACACACAACAGGCAGAAGAAGCATACTCACAAGAGCAGCGGTGGAGATTTATCTGAAGGACACTGGAGAACAGCAAGCATGTAGAGCTCTGTTATTCCTGTGTTTGTCTTTTACAGACTGGAGTGCAGCATGTGGAGACAAGTGGGAATCACCTTCCTCAGCAATGACTGGACACTGATGGTCAGGAATATCCTTCAAAAACAGATGAATGGGTGCATGTATGGATGTCCTTCCAAGAGGAAGGGGGTGGTGGTGGGCATATTGTAGATTGTCAGATAGATGTCATCTTTGTGGCTGTTATTAACATTGTAAATAATGGATACACAACAGGGAGAAGAGGGAGACTAAATAGAGCATTGTGGAGAACAGCTTATGTACTGCAGGAGCTCAGCCAGCAGGTAGGGCTCTGTTGGTGCTGTCTTTGTCTTTTGCAGATTGGAGTAGAGCCGAAGAAGGAAACTCACAAGGAAACAGTAGAGATTTATCTGAAGAACACTGGAGAACACTGTTTATTGCTGGAGATCAGCCAGCAAGTGGAGCTTTGTTAGTCTTGTTTTCGTCTTTTGCAGATTAGACTGGGGCATGTGGAGAAATAGGAATCACACCTCAGCGATGACTGCAAACTGAAGGTCTGGTTAGGTATTTCCTGAATGGATGGGTGGATGAATGAATAAAAAATAGATGTCTTTCCAAGAGGAAGGGAGTGGTGGTGGGCTTATGTAGTTAGCTAGATGTCTTGTCTGTGGCAGGTGTTTCCTTTTCAAGTAATGGACAAACAGCCGGCAGAAAAAGCAAACTCACGAGAGCAGCGGTGGAAATTTATCTGAAGAACACTGGAGAACAGCAAGCATGTAGAGCTCTGTTAGTCCTGTGTTTGTCTTTTACAGACTGGAGTGCAGCATGTGGAGACAAATGGGAGTCACCTACCTCAGCAATGACTGTACACTGATGGTCAGGAATATACTTCAAAAACAGATGGATGATAGCATAGATCAGGCCTGTATTGGCTAATTGGGAGAACCGGGAGAATTCCCGGTTGGCTGGTCTGTTTTTTTGCCGCGAGGGCCGGTGTCCCTAGCTGCTTGCACTCTCAGCAGTTACACTTTTTTCATTATTTGTTTATTTGACCTTAACCTCACTCTTTTTATTCATTATTTGCAGCAGCTCCGCTTTTTTTATTTATCTTCTCGCAGCCCCGTGAGCAAAATGCAGCCCGTAGATTAATAATGATCATCATTAACCTGCAGGCTGCACCCCATTCCATCCCAAACAGCGGCACCTTAGTGAATATTAATTAATATTAATGAATATTACACCTGCTCAATGAAAATCAGATAATTCACTACATTAATAAATCTGACATAACTTGATCAGAAATCTAAAAAGGGAGAAAAAGAGTAGGGTTAAAAAAAAGAGTGGACATCAATAGCAGCAGATATCACTGAAGTGTTTAACAGCGTCATCGTAATCTAGTGGTTAGCACGTTACGTTAGGACGTCGCGGATCCGAGTTCGAACCTCACCAGAATAGAATATGATATAATTTTGAAATTTTTATTGTTAAGACTTAAAATACTGTTTGGGTTACTTATCTAGGGGTACATTTTTTTGTTGACTGTGATGACTGTTACAAAAGACTGAATATCTTTAAATAATTAATGTTCTCATATTTATGAAAAACATTTGAAGTTCTAAAGCAGCTGTGTCCTTGAAAAAGACATGTTAGTTTCATTAGAAACTGAATTGGAAATTACATTATTTTAATATAGTCAGTCGTCAACTGAGGTGGACCGGTCTAAGGCTTGAAACTCCAGAGCTAAAAAGAAGTCCCACTCCGGCCCTGGCATAGATGGATGTCCCCTAGAGGAAGGGGGTGGTGGTGGGCATAGATTGTTGGATAGATGTCTTCCCTGTGGCTGTTATCTACATTGTAGGTAATGGACACAAGAGCATCGGTGGAGTTTTATCTAAAAATTGCTGGAGAACAGCCAGCAGGTAGGGCTCTGTTAGTGCTGTCTTTGTCTTTTACAGACTGGAGTGCAGCATGTGGAGAAAAATGGAAATCACCTACCTCAGCAATGACTGGAAACTGGGGGTCAAGAATATCCTTCAAAAATAGATGGATGGGTGCGTAGATGGATGTCCTTCCAAGAGGAAGGGGGTGGTGGTGGGCATACTGTAGATTGTCAGATAGATGTCATCTCTGTGGCTTCACTGCTGCACTGCAGAAGCTCAGCCAGCAGGTAGGGCTCTGTTGGTGCTGCCTTTGTCTTTTGCAGATTGGAGTGGAGCAGAAGAAGGAAACTCACAAGGAAACATTGGAGATTTATCTGAAGAACACTGGAGAACACTGTTTATTGCTGGAGATCAGCCAGCAAGTGGAGCTTTGTTAGTCTTGTTTTTGTCTTTTGCAGATTAGACTGGGGCGTGTGGAGAAATAGGAATCACACCTTAGCGATGACTGCAAACTGAAGGTCTGGTTAGGTTTTTACTGAATGGATGGGTGGATGAATGAAAAATAGATGTCCTTTCAAGAGGAAGGGGGTGGTGGTGGGCTTAGATAGTTAGCTAGATGTCTTGTCTGTGGCAGGTGTTTCTTTTTCAATTAATGGACACACAACAGGCAGAAGAAGCAAACTCACAAGAGCAGCGGTGGAGATTTATCTGAAGAACACTGGAGAACAGCAAGCATGTAGAGCTCTGTTAGTCCTGTGTTTGTCTTTTACAGACTGGAGTGCAGCATGAAGAGCAAATGGGAATCACCTACCTCAGCAATGACTGGACACTGATGGTCAAGAATATCATTCAAAAACAGATGAATGGGTGCATGGATGGATGTCCTTCCTAGAGGAAGGGGTGGTGGTGGGCATAGATTGTTGGATAGATGTCTTCTCTGTGGCTGTTATCTACATTGTAGCGAATGGAATTAAGAGCATCGGTGGAGTTTTATCTAAAAATTGCTGGAGCTCAGCCAGCAGGTAGGGCTCTGTTAGTGCTGTCTTTGTCTTTTGCAGATTGGAGTGCAGCATGTGGAGACAAGTGGGAATCACCTACCTCAGCAATGACTGGACACTGATGGTCAAGATTATCCTTCAACAACAGATGGATGGGTGCATGGATGGATGTCCTTCCAAGAGGAAGGGGGTGGTGGTGGGCATACTGTAGATTGTCAGATAGATGTCATCTCTGTGGCTGTTATTAACATTGTAAATAATGGATACACAACAGGGAGAAGAGGGAGACTCACAAGAGCATTGTGGAGAACAGCTTACGCACTGCAGGAGCTCAGCCAGCAGGTAGGGCTCTGTTAGTTCTGTGTTTGTCTTTTACAGACTGGAGTGGAGCAGAAGAAGGAGACTCACAAGGAAACAGTGGAGATTTATCTGAAGATCACTGGAGAACACTGTTTATTGCTGGAGATCAGCCAGCAAGTGGAGCTTTGTTAGTCTTGTTTTTGTCTTTTGCAGATTAGACTGGGGCATGTGGAGAAATAGGAATCACACCTCAGCGATGACTGCAAACTGAAGGTCTGGTTAGGTATTTCCTGAATGGATGGGTGGATGAATGAATAAAAAATAGATGTCCTTCCAAGAGGAAGGGGGTGGTGGTGGGCTTAGATAGTTAGCTAGATGTCTTGTCTGTGGCAGGTGTTTCATTTTCAATTAATGGACACACAACAGGCAGAAGAAGCAAACTCACAAGAGCAGCGATGGAGATTTATCTGAAGAACACTGGAGAACAGCAAGCATGTAGAGCTCTGTTAGTCCTCTGTTTGTCTTTTACAGACTGGAGTGCAGCATGTGGAGAAAAATGGGAATCACCTTCCTCAGCAATGACTGGACACTGATGGTCAAGAATATCCTTCAAAAACAGATGGATGGGTGCATGGATGGAAGTCCTTCCTAGAGCAAGGGGTAGGTGGTGGGCATACTGTAGATTGTCAGATAGATGTCATCTCTGTGGCTGTTATTAACATTGTAAATAATGGATACACAACAGAGAGAAGAGGGAGACTCACAAGAGCATAGTGGAGAACAGCTTACGCACTACAAGAGCTCAGCCAGCAGGTAGGGCTCTGTTGGTGCTGTCTATGTCTTTTGCAGATTGAAGTGGAGCCAAAGAAGGAGACTCACAAGGAAACAGTGGAGGTTTATCTGAAGAACACTGGAGAACACTGTTTATTGCTGGAGATCAGCCAGCAAGTGGAGCTTTGTTAGTCTTGTTTTCGTCTTTTCCAGATTAGACTGGGCATGTGGAGAAATAGGAATCACTCCTCAGCGATGACTGCAAACTGAAGGTCTGGTTAGGTATTTCCTGAATGGATGGGTGAATGAATGAATGAAAAATAGATGTCCTTTCAAGAGGAAGGGGGTGGTGGTGGGCTTAGATAGTTAGCTAGATGTCTTGTCTGTGGCAGGTGTTTCATTTTCAATTAATGGACACACAACAGGCAGAAGAAGCAAACTCACAAGAGCAGCGGTGGAGATTTATCTGAAGAACACTGGAGAACAGCAAGCATGTAGTGCTCTGTTAGTCCTCTGTTTGTCTTTTGCAGACTGGAGTGCAGCATGTGGAGAAAAATGGGAATCTCAGCAATGACTGGACACTGATGGTCAAGAATATTCTTCAACAACAGATGGATGGGTGCATGGATGGATGTCCTTCCTAGAGCAAGGGGTTGGTGGTGGGCATATTGTAGATTGTCAGATAGATGTCATCTCTGTGGCTGTTATTAACATTGTAAATAATAGATGCACAACAGGGAGAAGAGGGAGACTCACAAGAGCATTGTGGAGAACAGCTTATGCACTGCAGGAGCTCAGCCAGCAGGTAGGTGTGACAATTTAAAAATCAAGACGTGGAACCCAAATGCAAGTAAAAAGTCTTTAATGCTTAACTTAAGCAAAACAGGGAAAATGGTGAGGGCTGGAAGTAAGGAAACTGTAGGAGTAACTAAAGAGATGGTCCGTCTCGGCAGCGCCGATAAATGTTCATAAACTCATCAACAGAGCAGATCAAACATTCGTCGTAGAAGAAACAGCAATGTCTCCGATGTACTCATCAACAGAGCAGATCAAACTCTCCGCGTAGCAGGAGGAGGGATCATCAGAGACAGCGACAAGGAAATCAACCAAACCACTCACCACCAGCGATCTCAACGGGAGGAGCCTGACAAAAACACAAAGCACCGTGAACAAATAACGAACTGACAAAGTGAGACAGGAACGCTGATCATTTATAGGCACATAAAATGCGCTACACCTGTAGCGGGCTGATTATCGGCCGAGTGCGCTACGCAACAGTTCCGGTAACAAAAGATCATGTGACGGCTCAGCTGATGACATGAAAACAAACACCCACTGACAACCACGCGACACCCACACAAACACAGAGAGAAAAAGCACACATACTTAGAAGCACGTATCATGATAATGAACTGTCACACAACGCAAACACTTCAAATAAGGAGCAGATGGATCCACAACCGTGACATTACCCTCTCCTCTAGGGACGCCTCCTGTCGTCCCCAGACGAGCTTACCTGGCGATTGTAATCATCGATAAGAGAATGGTCCAGTATGTCCCCGGCCTGAACCCAACTTCTCTCCTCCGGACCGTAACCTTCCCAGTCCACCAAGTACTGAAATCCTCGTCCCTTCCGTCTAGAGTCCAGAATGCGCTTAACCGAATAAGCAGTCTCCCCATCTACGAGACGCGGCAGGGGGGGGAACTGGTGTGTGAGGATTAATTGCCGTATGAAAAACGGGCTTTACTTTGGATACATGGAACAAGGGATGAATTCTCCTGTACGCTGGAGGTAATTTAAGGCGGATTGCCACAGGACTAATGATTCTAGTGACAATAAAAGGGCCGATAAATTTAGGAGCTAACTTATTACAGACGGTGCGGAGCGGAATGTTCTTAGTAGAAAGCCACACTTTTTGACCGACAACGTAAACGGGAGGCTTAGACCGGTGGCGATCGGCTTTAGCCTTGGTGCGCTTCCCCACTTGGAGGAGGGTCTGTCTGGCCCTATTCCAAGTGCGGCGGCACCTCTGGACAAAGGCGTGAACGGAGGGAACCGCAACTTCGGATTCCAGACTGGGAAAAACTGGTGGCTGGTAACCTAGACTACACTGAAACGGAGAAAGGCCCGTGGCAGACACTGGTAACGAATTATGTGCGTACTCCCCCCACGAAAGTTGTTGGCTCCAGGAGGAAGGATTCTGCGAGACCAAACATCGCAATGTACGCTCAAGATCTTGATTGGCTCTCTCAGTCTGGCCGTTACTCTGGGGATGAAAACCAGAGGAAAGACTAACAGTGGCCCCCAATAAACGACAGAATTCTCTCCAGAATTTAGAGACGAACTGTGGCCCCCTGTTAGAGACCACATCCCTCGGGAGGCCATGAATTCGAAAAACATTGTCAATGACAGCAACCGCTGTCTCTCTGGCTGATGGTAATTTGGGCAGAGAGATAAAATGAGCAGCCTTCGAGAACCTGTCCACCACGGTTAAAACTACCATGTTACCGTTAGAGGATGGAAGACCCGTAACAAAATCTAGCGAGATGTGTGACCAGGGTCTCGAAGGCACTGACAGCGGTTGGAGGAGTCCAGCATGGGGACGATTGGAAGACTTGGAAACTGCACAGACAGAGCAAGCCAAAACAAAATCGCGCACATCACGAGTCATAGCTGGCCACCAAAATCGTTGTTTGATAATAAATAATGTGCGACTCACCCCTGGGTGACAAGCTACCTTGGAGGAATGACCCCACCGGACAACGTCGGACCGTAATCCCTCTGGCACGAACAAACAACTCGGTGGGCATCCGATCGGGGGCGTTACCCCATCCAGGGCTGCACGGACCCTCGACTCAATCTCCCAGGAAATGTTCGCTACGATGATGTTCTGAGGGAGCACAGGATCAGAAGATGACTTGCGATCCGAAGGATCGAAAAGACGTGACAACGCATCAGGTTTGATGTTCTTGGAACCAGGTCTATACGAGATGGTAAAATTAAACCGTCCGGAAAATAATGCCCACGAGCCTGCCTGGAGTTCAATCTTTTAGCGGATCTAATATATTCATGATTTTTATAATCGGTCCAGACGATAAAAGGCACCCCCGAGCCTTCTAGCCAGTGATGCCACTCCTCCAAAGCAAGCTTGACGGCCAACAACTCTCGATTACCAATGTCGTAGTTTCTTTCAGCAGGAGATAATCGATGAGAAAAATACGCGCAAGGATAGACCTTGCCATCCGAGGCGGAGCGCTGGGACAGAATTGCGCCGACCCCCACCTCTGACGCATCGACCTCCACCACAAACTGCCGGGAAGGATCAGGGGCAATGAGTATCGGAGCTGAAACGAAGCAGCCCTTTAATTTGGAAAAGGCAGCTTCGGCTGCACTGGACCACCTGAACGGCGTCTTGGTCAAGGAAGTCAGAGGTGCGGCGAGCTGGCTGAAATTGCGAATAAAACGCTGGTAAAAATTGGCAAAACCCAGAAACCTCTGCAGGGCCTTACGGGAATCTGGGGTTGGCCAATCTACCACAGCCTGAATCTTCTCTGGATCCATGCGCATCCCCTCGACTGACACGATATGTCCCAAGAACTGAACCGACTGTGCATGAAAAACGCATTTCTCCGCCTTGGCATAAAGCCCATTCTCTAGCAACCTCTGCAACACTCGCCTGACATGTTGAATATGTTCCTGGAGAGAGTGAGAAAAAATCTGAATGTCATCCAGGTAGACATAAATAAACTGATCTATCATGTCTCTCAACACGTCATTGGCGAGTGCCTGGAAATCAGCTGGAGCGTTGGAAAGGCCGAAGGGCAGAACGCAGTACTCAAAATGCCCTCTAGGGGTGTTAAAAGCTGTTTTCCACTCATCCCCGGGTCTTATGCGAACCAAATGATAAGCATTGCGAAGATCTAATTTTGTGAAAAAGCTCCCCCCTGCAGGCGCTCGAAGACTGAAGACATCAGCGGCAAAGGATAAGTATTCTTAACCGTGATGCTGTTCAGCCCTCGATAGTCTATGCACGGACGAAGGGAACCATCCTTCTTTTTCACAAAAAAAATCCCGCCCCCGCCGGTGAAGAAGACGGGCGGATGATCTTGGCTGCTAAAGAATCAGAAATATATTTCTCCATGGCCTCCCTCTCTGGAACAGACAGCGAATATAACTTGCCTTTAGGCGGAAAAATTCTGTCCCAGAATAACAGGATTTTCGACAGTGTTAGTGAGAAAGAAGGTAATAGTCTCAGTATGGTTTCCTGAAGTGATGAGCCTAATAGGAGCTGTAATATGTGTGATAGTTGGAAGAGGTAGACCGCTAAGTGCGTGGAATTTTTAACTTCTTAGCTAAATCAGAGTCAATAAAACTCCCCTCCACTCCTGAATCAATGAGCGCATGACAGGGATGAAAGTTCGAATTGAATTCCAATTTAATGGGTAGGAAAGTGGAATCGGGAGAGTCCTTCCCTGTCATGACCTCACCCACCAAAAGACTCTTACCAGTGGATGATTTATTGTTCTTGGCTGGACATAAAGGCGCATAATGACCAGCAACCCCACAGTACATGCACAAGCCCCCCGTGCGACGGCGTCGTCTATCCTCCGATGAGAGGCGGAACCTTTCCACCTGCATGGGCTCGGGTTCCGGATCGGGGGGTGAAGCCTCCGGAAAACAGGTCTGTGAGCGAAACTCCCTGTGCATACCTCTGCGCTGCATACGGTTGTCCACCCTTATGGCCAGGCTGATGAGACCGTCCAACGTCTTGGGTAACTCCAAAGCGTAAATCTCATGTTTTATATGATCCCCGAGTCCGTGAAAGAACATGTCCCACTGAGCTTCACTGTTCCAACCACACTCAGCCGCCAGGGTGCGGAAATCGATAGAATACTCCGCCACCGTGTGATCTCCCTGACTGAGCTCCGCAAGTCGTCTATATGCCTCTCTTCCTGAAGCAGCCTGATCGAAAACGGTCTTGAGCTCCTCTGTAAAGGACTTGAATGTTTGACAGCAGGGCAGTTTCCTCTCCCACGCCGTGGTTCCCCATAATGCCGCCTTACCAGTCAAAAGGTTGATTAAAAACGCCACCTTGCTCTCCTCGGTGGGAAAAGACGATGGTTGCAGTGAAATGTACAGAGAACACTTGGCGATAAACGCTCTGCAAAGTTGGGGTTCACCTGCATAGGACTGTGGTGGAGGCAGTCGTGGTTCGGCGGTTCGGGGAATCTCATTGGCAACCGGAGTGACTGGTGGTTCAACGGAGGGAGCCGGTATGGTGGAGCCGGTATGGTGGAACCGGCGCTGAGACCCGAGCTGAGTCTCTGGACTTGTGTTGTCAGCTCGGACACCTGATTTACCAGTGCTTGTATAGCCTGACTGCTCACCTTCATTTGTTGCTCCTGGTGATCCATCCGGGCGACACTGCGTGACAGCACATCCTGTATCTCCGCCGCACTTGCTGGGTCCATGTTTGGTCAGTTCGTTCTGTGACAATTAAAAAAACAAGACGTGGAACCCAAATGCAAGTAAAAAGTCTTTAATGCTTAACTTAAGCAAAACAGGGAAAATGGTGAGTGGCTGGAAGTAAGGAAACTGTAGGAGTAACTAAAGAGATGGTCAGTCTCGGCAGCGCCGATAAATGTTCATAAACTCATCAACAGAGCAGATCAAACACTCAGCGTAGCAGGAGAAGGGATCATCAGAGACAGAAACAAGGAAATCAACCAAACCACTCACCACCAGCGATCTCAACGAGAGGAGCCTGACAAAAACACAAAGCACCGTGAACAAACAACGAACTGACAAAGTGAGACTGGAACGCTGATCATTTATAGGCACATAAAATGCACTACACCTGTAGCGCGCTGATTATCAGCCGAGCGCGCTACTCAACAGTTCCGGTAACAAAAGATCATGTGACTGCTCAGCTGATGACATGAAAACAAACACCCACTGACAGCCACGCGACACCCACACAAACACAGAGAGAAAAAGCACACATACCTAGAAACACGTATCATGATAATGAACTGTCACACAACGCAGACACTTCAAATAAGGAGCAGATGGATCCACAACCGTGACAGTAGGGCTCTGTTGGTGCTGTCTTCGTCTTTTGCAGATTGGAGTGGAGCAGAAGAAGGAAACTCACAAGGAAACAGTGGAGATTTATCTGAAGAACACTGGAGAACACTGTTTATTGCTGGAGATCAGCCAGCAAGTGGAGCTTTGTTAGTCTTCTTTTCGTCTTTTCCAGATTAGACTGGGGCATGTGGAGAAATAGGAATCACACCTCAGCGATGACTGCAAACTGAAGGTCTGGTTAGGTATTTCCTGAATGGATGGGTGAATGAATGAATGAAAAATAGATGTCCTTTCAAGAGGAAGGGAGTGGTGGTGGGCTTAGATAGTTAGCTAGATGTCTTGTCTGTGGCAGGTGTTTCATTTTCAATTAATGGACACACAACAGGCAGAAGAAGCAAACTCACAAGAGCAGCGGTGGAGATTTATCTGAAGAACACTGGAGAACAGCAAGCATGTAGAGCTCTGTTAGTCCTCTGTTTGTCTTTTACAGACTGGAGTGCAGCATGTGGAGACAAATGGGAATCATCTACCTCAGCAATGACTGGAAACTGGTGGTTAGAGGTTATGTATTACCTGAATGAATATTAAAAAAAATAAAATAAAAAATAGATGTCCTTCCAAAAGGAAGGGGGTGGAGGTGGGCTTAGATTGTTAGATGTCTTCTCTGTGGCAGTTATTTAAATTGTACACTGTTAACACTTGCTGTAGATTATGCAGTAACCAACCATAAAATAGCCAGTGTTTTGCTGTAATAAATAGAAACAGTATTTTACTGTAGGATTAACAAATAGGATTTGTATGAAATTGTGTATAGTGCAAAGAATAAATTACAGTAATTTACTTTATGAATGAATATAAATGTTGCCCGTTGCTATCAGTGTTGGGGAAAGTTATTTTTGAAAGTAATCCAAAATCTAAAATCTAGTTGCATTACTTTTTATGGAATGTAATGCATTACGTTACTTTTGCGCTACTTTTTCTCACCTGCCTGAGGCTTGATCTCTTTAAGAATTTGCAGGGGTTGTTTCTTCTTTTTTTAAATATAAGAGCTCTGCAAATAATAACACATAACCTTTATTTACCTTTAAAAACACATCAATTAATAATAAGTTAGGATAATGTTATCTTCTGAGAACTTCCCTTTTACTCGTCTTCCTCCATGTGTTCAGAAAAATGAGAATTCTTCCATCACAGAAATGTAGGGCTCTGCATTGTTAATTTCTGTTTGTTTTTGCAAGGAGAAAATTTTCTCCTTGAGTGCGGGATTTGGTGTTAATTTCAATTCAGCAATTAATTTTTTAAAAGCGAATTGATTAAACTAAAAAGTAACCCAAATATAACTTAATTTTTAAATGTAATGCTATTATGTAACTTGTGTTACTTGTAATGCATTAACCCCAACATTGTATACCATCAGTGTCAAACCAAGTTCCCACCCTACTTCAACACTGTACTGTACACTGCATGTGATGTTCATTAATTTAACCCTTTTTTGTTTCATTGTAAATAGAACATGCATTTATATATGCTGATTTGTTTATTTTTGTTAGATATATGATGTTGTATATTTGTTTGCTGCCAAAACAATAAAATACGTTTGTCTAAAGAATGGACTATAGTGTTTTTCAGCCAATGATGAACTTCTGAAAGGTTAATGTGACTATTTTCAATTTCATAAGGTCTCTTTTACAGCATCGATGTTGTAATGTAATTACAATACATTCAGTTAAATATACTTAAGCATTAATTTGGTTGTTACAGAGTAAAAAGAGATTAAAAAATGTTTGAATGCATGCAAGCTCCGTCAGTAGCAGCAGGCAGCGCAAAAACTCTATTGGAAACACTGTGGTAAAATTATTTTCCATATTTTAAAGACATGGAATTTAATGCAGTGCTTCTTGTTTGGTCTGATATCCACTTTTTATTGTATCTTAGCCAAGCATTGAAGATCGCTATTCTTCAGATCTTAAGGGCGGCAATTTTGTATGGGATGACAATTAACCGGAAGCCCTGGGGCAAGCTGACTGAAATTAAAAGTCTTTATACATATACCCCATTGAAATTCTTTCTATTTTTTAATAACAGATAAGAATACTGATTCATTTTAGTAAAACTACAATAACTCTATATGATATACCATTAATGTGTATGCAGTAGCTATTATGCTATAGAATTAAAGTACAGTAATAGTGTAAGCAGTTTCCAGTTAGTTACCGCTACTGCATTGTTGCCACTATTTCTACTGTAAAAACAACAACAACAACAACAAAAACTTGGTAAGGTCTAATACATTTATTACAGTATTTATTCATTTTTGTTAACATTAGGTAATTAAATAAAGTTTCATTGTTAATTTATGTGAACTCAGAGGGCTTTAACTAATAATTTAATTTAAAAAATACATTAATAATAAAACAGATCTCTTTTCAAAACTTGGCAATGGTCATGCAAGCAAATTTGCTCTTCTCACACTGAAGCATAAATTTGCATAACATCTGAAAAACTATTTTAATTTTATGGGACCTTTAATGACACGCAAAGATGAATGTTTGCCACACAGTGTGAACTTACAAAATCATGATTACTTTTGATTTCATTAGTACTTAAAAAACAGCATTTATCTTTTAGTTTATTTTTGTATAACTTTTTTTTATCATGCAATAAAAAACATTACAATATGAACAAAGAGACAAAAATGGTTACATAAAAAACTTCTAGCAAATTAAACAAGTTTAAATAATTTACACCAAGAAAGAGTTTTGCATGCAATATATTTATTAGTCTTTTAAGGTGTTCACATATAAATCAAAGTCCTTTCTGAAAATAAAAAGTAAGGGTGTTTCTTTGAAAATGTACATTACTGCATTAGCCAGAAAAAGCAATGAATTAATAATAAATTTACAATGAGAAGGATCTAAATTCACAGAGTAATTACAAAGATAAAATTTTTGGGAAAATACAAAAGTTTTGAAATATTTGTATTTTTTAATGAAATTGGAAAAATCAACCCAAAACACTTTACAGTAAGCACACTCCTAAAATAAACGATTTAGTGTTTCGTCATATTGAGTACAAAATTCTCATTTGGGGGAAACAATGTTATGAAATTTAGCTAGTTTGGTATTTATTGGGTAGCAATTATGAATGATTTTGATTGAGACAGCTTTATTAGATAAAAATATTTCTTCCCGAAGAAACCAAAACTGTTCCCAGTCTAAGTCACCAATAATATTATTCCACAAACCAATGCAGCATTAATCTTTTATTTTCAACATTATTATGAACATTTACCTGCCGTTAAAGCAATCCCCTCCTCTTTTCAGTAGTAGCCCATCCCCTCCCCGCCTCCTTTCATCTCATCCTCTGCGCATGCGCGTCACGCCAGGCAGCCCCCTATTATTATTGTAAGAATAATTTCACTTATGAAAATGGCGGCGAGTCAGGGAGCTGTTGGATCAGCGGCGGCTCTCCAGAGCCAGCCTTACCCGAACGTTGCCCACTGGAACCCGGGCGTGATGCAGCAGCAGCACCCGCTTCACACTGCCCGCAGCCTGGAGCGCGCGCTGGAGGATGCCGTCTGCTCCGGGATGCTCAACATCAGCGGGAGGAAACTGCGCGACTACCCGGGGCTCAACTACGATCTGACCGACACTACACTAGCAGGTGGGTCCGCAGATGTGGGCTAATCTTCCTGTGCGCTCTACTGACCCGCTTCTCGCGATTCTCCGTTTAAGAACAGCAATAAGATGTATGAAAGGAAGCGCGCGGCTGCGTGTTTGCGGCATTTGCGCGCTGTGTCAATGGATGTTTGTGTGTTGGCTACAATAGACAGTGCACATGGTGCTTGTACAAGAGAAAACCGTTAGTCTCACGCGTTATCTCTCGTGTTTGTCAGGGCTGGTGTGCAGTGACAAGCACACTGAAACAGAATTAGAGACAACACCTCTGGTGTCTCTGGTTGTTTTGGCTTCTCATCTCTTACACCCCAAACCTTAATCCATGCATGAATGAAGCTCGAGAGAGCACTTGAGCTCAAACGACAGGAGACAATCTTCATTAACCTTTGCTCCAGTAATTTTAACATGCAAACTCATTGCACCTTATCTAGACTGTGACTAAAAGGCTTTCTTTGTGTGTCATGGAGCCGTTTCATTTCGATAATACAAGAGTTCGTCTAGACTATAGAGTGATAACAAGCATTTTAAACGGACGGAAAATGCAGATAAAGGATGTAGTGCCAGACAAAAGATGCTGCTGTCCGTCTTTCCCCTATAACGCGCCGTTCGCCATCCTCTCAGAAGGTGCAAGCAGCCCTAGATATAATACACACGCATATTTAACGTTAAACCGATGTTTATTATTATTATTTAGATAATAGCGTTGAAGGCTATTGTGCTAACAGTCGACAGGAACTGTAAATGAGCAGCACTATTACACATATTGCTGTATGAAGTGAATTGGCCGTATCGTTTTTAGAGACGAGGGTAGAAATTAAATGTCTGCATCTCTTTCGGAAGTGTCTGTGGTGTGTAATGGTAGTCTTGCCGCAGCAAACAGCCATTCAGATGTGAAGCAGACAGTGGGAGGAGGGACAGTAATCCGTTCATTCATGCACACACCTTACTCACAGCATCATGTCTACACACTCCCATTCAACTGTATTGGGTTACGCTTGTGAAAAGCCCTTCTGTAAATCTTTGGCTGCGTCTCCAAACTGCTTTAGCTGTGTGAAGGGTCGTTTGTTTATATCAAGCCCTTGTGTTTTGATTCCCTCACATGGCTTGCTGGCTGGAAGAAGGCTGTGGTTGTTGGAGATAACGGTGGACGTTGACTGGTTCCACTGTTTGTGACAGGCCCGTCGGCGAACAGATGACATTTGTTGATAGTACAGGGCTGCTGGTGCCTGCTTTTGTTTTCCTGCATCTATATTCATGTGTTTGAAAGAGGAAATAGTTGGAAGCGAACCAGACTGTCATCTAAAAGAGGAAGTGACTTTGTTGCTGACTCAACTGGAGATATTTGGCTGCTTCTGCATGAAGGGTGGAGAATCCTCATCTCGCAATCTGTATTCACATTTGTGAGAAAGAGGCTGTTTGTGTGCTTGTTAGTTTTAGTGTTTGTTTGACAGTTTGGGTAGGCTTGTGTGTAGTTTGAGCAGCTCCAGTGACCCACTTGGCAGTCCTTCCTATTATTGGCTGTGTTTGGCCACAAACATAACACTGGAGTATGAAGACGCCCCCCGAATCTCTGATGTTGAAGAGTGAGAAAGACGAGGAATTCCCTCTCCTTTTCTTTCTTGTCTTCTGTTTTTCCCCAGCCAATTTTCAGTTTGTACTGTTTGGTGTGAGCATGCCATTGTCTTCATTTGTGTCTTCACTGGTAATTTGGATGGTGATTGTGAACTAAACATCTATTTATCTATGATGTATATCTTTTAAGTGTGTGTGTGTGTGTGTGTGTATGTGATTAATAGCAGCATAAATAGCTACTACTTATCCCATGATAACGAGCACAAGAATGGGTTCACAAGAACAAGATGAGATTTTAGACTTTAAAGAAATCCTCAATGAACTTTAAAAAAAAAAAATCACAGAATGCACAAAACGTTGGTGCATTTTGAAATCAACTTTCATTCATTCATTTTCTTTTCGGCTTAGTCTCTATTAATCAGGGGTCGCCACAGCGGAATTAAAAACAGCATATGTTTTACACAGCGGAAGCCCTTTCAGCTGCAACCCAACACTGGAAAACATCCATACACACTAATTCACACACATACACTACGGACAATTTAGCTTACCAATAGAGGTGTGAACCTACACTGGTCTTACGGTTCGGATCGGTTACAATTATCATGCCATCGATTCGGTTCAATTCGATATCTCAGTGCATTACGGTGCATTGAGGATGCTTTCTATACACAGTTTTATATTTGGGGGTGGGGGCTATAACAAGCTGTCTAAAAAAAAACACCAGAGTTACCCACCGCTCCCGCTCTTTATTTGGAAATTCCTCAGACCTCAATCCAGAAGTATCCCCGTAACAGCCGAAAGGAGAGGAAAATTCATGCCAGCAGGTGTATTGGGCCACAGTGAGAGGGAGAAAAAGATGGAGTTTACTTTCATTCCCTTTATTGCTGAGAAATAGGGGCTTCTGCTGTAAGTGTCAAGGAGAGACTGTCCAGAAAACACACACGCTGTAAAATTGTGCACAGTTTCTGCGTTTAGAAAGTAATTCCGTCATTAATATTAGTCCAAAAGGGTATTCATTCATTTGTTTTGTTGTCAGCTTAGTCCCTTTATCAATCTGGGGTCGCCACAGCGGAATGAACCACCAACTTATCCAGCATGTTTTTACGCAGTGGATGCCCTTCCAGCCGCAACCCATCTTTGAGCGACATCTACACACACTCATTTACACACACTCATACACTACAGACAATTTAGTCTAGCTCTACTTTTTGGTACATTTTTGTTGTGCCATGTACCCTTTGGAAAGGGTACCTAAAAAGTGGTATGGTGCAGTTTGCTTTTTGGTACCTATTGACAGTGGAAACAGACATAAAAGCGTACTGAACTGAAGCGTACTCAATGGAAACGGGCTACTGTGTTTCTCATCTGCTCTTAGACTCATCTGCACATCACATTATTTGTTTTTGTGAATAAAGATTGTGATCATGGATGGTGGGTGGATGGGAGGGGGTTCCTCGGTTCGCTAAGAGAATATAGGGGTTTGTACTTGGAGACATGATTTCTTTTTAGAAAAATGACTTTTGCTGCTTGTTCAAACTACTTATTTAAATTAAGTTAAACAACACTATTCTTAATTTGGGGGGGGGGGGGGGGGGTGAATAGTTTTGTGTTCTGTCTACTTAAATTTTTCACAGTGCACCATACGAATTTTGCATGCTCAAACTCTAATGTGACAATGGCTCTAACGTTATAAATGTGTTTATCATAGAATATGTATATATATATATATATATATATATATATATATATATATATATATATATATATATATATATATATATATATATATATTTTTTTTTTTTAAATCATGTATTATCTTCACATATATGCAGAGTACATGGCATTTATTAATGTTTTGTTAATGTCAGTGCTGTAGACTTTTATCCGGCTGTAGTATGCAGTATATAATATTCATGTGCAAAGTTGTCTTTTATGAAAATGACTTGCATTAAGGCAGTTTGTGGTCATGCATGTTCATAAATTATGCATGTATCCGCTGTGCACACATGATGTTGCTTTTAGGAATTTACTATTAGGGCTGATGCAGTGAAATGCTTAATGACAGCCTGTTTTCACATATTGCAGTAAGGGAGATGATAATCACAGCTCTTTCTTGGATGTTTATATTGGTTTATGTGAGTGCCAAAATGTGTGTTCATAGTCATACAAACGTTCAATGAAAACATAGGATAAGGTAGTGATATCAATCCAGAAAAGGAAATTCAAAAATCATTGTTAATAAACGTTAAAAAAAAGACAATGGGACTTTTTCACCAAATATCTGTGTTCCAAAAAAAAAAGAAAAAAGTAAAAAAAATCATACAGGTCTGCAACCTTTTTAAATAACTGTTTTAAATACTAAAAAATAAATAGATAAAAGTAAAAAATGCCTGTATTTTGATTTTGTTTTGAGTTTTCCATAACATGTTGTCTCATCTTGACAGTTTCATATTGCTCTCTGTCTCTCGGCAGAACCCTTTAGGGTCATGACATAGAGATTTAGAGGAAGTGGTCATAAGATAGCCGTACTGAAGCTATTTCACATTTCTTGATTTGGAACGAGGAAGTAAAGTAAAGCATGTTGGGGTAAAATGGAATACCATAACTATAACAGTATTCTCTATTGTTTATGAGTTGCATTTTACCTCATGAAAATACCATATTGAATAGAATAGAAAATATAAGGTGGTGTCTTTCACTCGATAAAAGTACTTTACATTAATGTTTGAGATGAATAGTTGAACAAATTCAATAATGTAATTTCTCAATTTTTAACCACGTCAAATGTGCTGCAACTTGAATAGCAAAACGACTTCTATAATGCATAGAAGTCATAACATTAAGCCATTAAGCAATTAAACATTTGGATTGGTGCCAATTAAAGGAGACTCAATTTGTAAAACAGATTTCCAACATGGGGTGACACTGTGGCTCAGTGGTTAATACAGTCGCCTCACAACAAGAAGGTCACTGGTTCGAGTCTTGAGTGGGTCAGTTCGCATTTCTGTGTGGAGTTTTCCTGTTCTCCCTGTGTTGGCGTGGGTTTCCTCAGGATGCTTCGGTTTCCCCCACAAGTCCAAACACATGTAGTATAAGGGAATTGAATAAATGTTAATTGTTGTCAAATGTACTAAACCTACTCAGAAATCACTAAATTTCAAAAGCCCTTTTAGCCTTTCCGTTGGGCCCAAAATAAAGTGTCCGACATAGAAATAAAAATACTATAAAAAATACATACATTTACTAACTGATTTTTTAAATGGCATTAATTATAGGCTAAATATATATTTTTGAAAATAACCACATTTTATTTAATTATTTTTATTTATTTATTTATTTATTTTAATTGGAAAATCTGGTAGGTCTAACTTTTTTATATTATTATTTGTTTTATTAACTAGATACCAAAGT